GTTGGGGGGGGGGGGGGGGGGGGGGGGGGGGGGGGGGGGGGAGGCGGCGTGTTGTATACTGGGGAACAGAGTCCTGAGAGCCACAGCCTGAGCTTTAGGCTCCATCTCTGCCACTTGCTACTTAGATGACCTTGGGTAAGTTACTGTGCCTCCTTTTGTCAACAGTGAAATGGTTTAATTTCATTAAACCATACAGCTGTTCCAAAAATATCACGCCATCACTCATATACATATGGTGCAAGAGTATGTGGCATGTACTAAGCATTCAGTAGGAGATGATTATGTCTGACTTCTGAATTTCAACCACTTAGCCACCACCAGATGGAGATAAGTCTAGAGTCGTTGGTGACTCCGTCAGTTTCAGGAGCAAAAAGTGAAAAGAAAAAGAAAATAGAACACGAGGAACGGCAGATGTGGGTTCTGTGTGGTGGCGGCTGCAGCAGTTTGCAGGGGCCGTTTAGCAGGGCCACGTCCCCACAGGGGCATCCTGGGGAGTGGAAGGAAGATAAACAGAGACCAGAGTAGCTCTAATCCCACCTCTTGCCAAAAGCGCACGAGGAAAGCAAACCACCTCCCGGGAATCCCAATCTCGGACTGGGAAAATTAAACTGTGTGTTTAATAGAGAAATGGATTACTGAATATGACAGCACTTTTGGAGCACAGTGATTTCCATCTCAGTAATGTGTGCTTTTTATCAGTTCCCATGCATATCAAAGCAAGTGCCAGGGAGAAGTAACCTGCGGGAAATCACTTTTCTTATCAGCCTTTGAATATAGACATTCTGCTGATAGCCTGAGATTCTTGGTTAACATTTCCAGTATTTCACAGCGTTCTTCGCCCCGTGGCAGGCAGCACCCAGAACTACACAGACCTACGGAGACGTTAAGTAAAGGCAGTCGCGTTTGTGCCACCGTCGATGGTCGGTTTTCACATCTGGTGTCAGACCTCCTGGGCTTCAGGTTTTGTGTTTTAATGACATTGATCAGTGCGTTGTTGACTGTAAGCAGCAGTGAAAGGTGCTGATCGGGGATGCCGTCTCTGGGTTTATGTAGCCCAGCTTTACAACTCACTGTTTCAATGTAAGCAAGTTGGTCTCTCTGAGCCTCAGTTTCCTTTTACATAAAATACCTTCCCCAAATATTATTATAATATTATAATTAGGACTCAGTGAGTGCAGAGCTGAGCACAGAGCTTGGCACGTTACTCTCAGTTTCCATCAGTTCATCCTTATCTGTTGTGACGCGTTTTTACATGTTGACATCCTAATAGTGTACGCTTTGAACTACCGTGCCTTGGTGTCCAGTTCTCTTTCTCCTTCACCTGTCCTCCCTTCCCCTACTACCTCCGTACACCCCATGCTTTTTTAGTTTCCTGTTTAGGATTACAGATGCAGAGTCCACTGTTCAGATCAATTGCCTGTGACTAATAATCTATAGGGAACAGGAAGTATCTTGAGCCAGTGTATGTAAAGACATTAGAAGTAACCATGTGTTGTTACTTGGAAGCCAAGATTTTCATAGCGAGCCCTTCAGTAACTGTGGCCTGAAGAAGAATTTGAAAAACAAAAAGACATTACCCCACCGGACTTAGAGATTTAACCAAATACACTCTCAGTGGTTACTGGTCAAGGAGGATCGAGAGAGAAAATCAGAGGCACACATGGGAATCTAGACTCCTCCATCAACTTGGGCATCAAGTTCCTTGTGCCTGCCGTGGGCCGTGTGCACCCCATAACAACTTGGACATGACTGGTCTCTTGATCCCGAAGGTATCCCACACAGTAATCCATGTATTACTCGTGCTCACCTGGCTGACTCCTTCACACACGGGGAAGGTGTAGCATCTCCCAGTGCTGAGGCTTACCAAACTGGACCTCCCACTGGAGATGTTTCAAGTAGTAGTTAGGCCATCAGAGAAAGACAAGTACCATGTGATTTTACTCATATGTGGACTCTAATGAACAAAATAAACCAACAAACAATAGAAATAGATACAGAGAACACACTGACCACTCTTAGAGGGGAGTGGGTATCGGGGGCAGGGTGAAAAACGTGAAGGGATTAAGGGGGAAACCTCATAGGCAGACAACAATATGGTGATTACCAGAGGGCCCTTTCAGTGGAGGGAGGTAGGAGAGGGTAAGTGGGGATAAATGGTGATGGAAGGAGACTTGACTTGGGATGGTAAACACATAATACAATATACAGATGATGTGTTATAGAATTGTACCCCTGAAACCTATATAATTTTATTAACCAATGTCACTCCAATAAATTCCTTAGCACAATACAGAAGTTCATGACCCTGTCTCTCTCTGCCTTGCTGGTCTTATCTCCACCATCCTACATTCCAGCCATATGTAATAACTTCCAATTCCCAAGCATGCCATGCTCCTTCAGACTCTTTACTTTGCTTGCTTTGCTTGCCTGCTCCCCACAGTGGGCTCCCCCAACTTGAAGACTCAAGTCGGGCATCAACTCTCTGGGGAACCTTTTCCTGGCCACTGCTTCCTGCCAGCATCCCTCATCCGGGCTCTAGGCTTCCCCCACCAGAAACTGCGTCTTATTATCTGTTTCCCAGGTTCCTAATACAGTGCGGATGCTCATTAAGTATTTGCTGAACAGATTAATGAATAAGGGTTTGAGTGAGGGAATTGATATATTATGGAAACTACAAGTGGGTGTGACTGGCCACTTAAGGGCTGGAGCCAGGCATAACTGGTGTTTTGTTTGTTTTTCAGTGACAACAGATGCATAGGGTCCTTAAAACTTAGTTCTTTTTTTGGTATAGATGTCCACTATGTGCCATTCTGAATAAGATTTCACTTTTGTTGCCTTTTTGTTTTAGAAATGCAGAACTAGAACATAGTTTTTAGTGAAGAACAGCCTAAAGCTAGACACATATGTATGTATTTATTATAAGTGTATGTGTGCATAAATATACATGTTTATATATGTACTTATATACACACATGTATGTGTGCACGAACCCATACACATGTACACATGCATGTGTACATATATACACGTTTGTATGTGTGTACAAATGTATACGTGTGTGTGTCGTGGGCAGATATAGATCAATCTTAGTAATGCCTCACAGGAGGTTCTGTCTCCATCCAACCTGCTCGCTGTCACCAAAGTATGATTATAACACCTCCCCACCGAATCAGCATACACTCCTGCCGTACAAGCCTATTTGTGGAAATGTCACAGACACCCTTGGGGTTCTGGTCACATTTCACCTGCCTCGTGGAGAAGCCTGAGTCTGTCTGATTCATCTTTGCATGCATCCAACAAACATGTCCCATGTGCCTACCATGTGGCTGTATGGAAACTATTAAGTGTGTGATGTATGGTCACTAGTCACTCGGCAGTGATTTTGTCTCGATAACTCTTCCCGCTCTCTCTGCCATCTCTCCAGTGGCCAGCCCAGCCTCCACATACACAGCTTTGCTGGCGAGTCCTTTCCATGAATCGTGGGTGGTCTATCACACAAGGCTCTCCCTACATGGGTTTCTTCCCATCAGATGCCTTTTAATTCACTCCCACAGCCGTGAAGGCTCACAGCCTTGAGAGAGCTACTCTCTGGAGGGAGCCTTGGGACCGGCTCCCAGGGCCAGGCACGGGGGCTGGTAAAGCAGGTTGCTTGCCAGTTGCTGGTGTCATATCTGTGCTGGGAGGAGAAAGTGTTTTCTAATCTATGTTTTTGTCTTGTCTTTTAGCTTACATTTTACTATGGAACTATAGATGCTTGGTGTCCAACAAAGTACTATGAAGACATAAAGAAAGATTTCCCAGAAGGAGATATTCGGCTCTGTGAGAAAAAAATAGCTCATGCTTTCATCCTCCGTTCGTACCAGGAAATGGCTGACATGGTCGCGGACTGGCTGAAGGATGACCTGTCCAAAGTGGACATCGCGACATGAGGAAGCAAAGACTGACAGCTGGTGCATAGGGGCCATGGTGTACTGACTTTCAGTAGTAACTAGTAGACTCCGTAGGTCAATGCTTAATTTCGGTGTTTGATTATGGAAGAGAGAAAAAAGTGAAACCCTCTTGGCTTAAAAACTACCCGCTCCCAACGTCCCACGCTACTGGCTGCAGTAAACACAGGTGACGAAATATTCCATAGGTTCAACCACACGTTTTCCAAGGCTCAGGAACACAGTGGCCTAAATAGGTCTCTGATGTTTGCCCAGGGGCACCATGCAGCTTGTCTTGGTAGGCAGGACCCTTGCAGACCAGAGGAAGGCTAAATGCCGTGATTCTAATGGACTTACATTGTAGAGGAGGCTCTGCTAGGGGAGGTTAGGAAATGCCTACTAGGAAATGTAAGAGGTCAGGGAGCGTCCGGTGCGCACTGCATCTTGCCAGGGGACCTGAGTCTCCCTCAGGACAGAAGCCGAAGAGCAGCCCAAACTAGCCTTGCCGGGGTCTTGCCGAGACCATCACTATCAGGCTGGGTACCAGGACAGCCTGCAGACCTACGTCACAAATCTCCACGCCAGCCTTTTGTCTGGCCACCAGGGGCACCGCCCCACGCAGAGCCAGCATCGGGGCAGGCACTGCCTGTGTCCGTCCGTCTCTGGGAAGCTTCCCGGAGGAGTGTGATTCCTGGTCCATTTGCATCAGCCAGAATAAAGTTTGCCAGGCATCCCTCTGCTCAACTAACCGGCTAAGGTGGAAGGATCCGGCTATGCCTCCAGCCACACGACAGCCAGCCAGCTCCGTGCCGAGCCTGGGCCTGCCGGGTGGTGAGCTCCTTGCAGGCTCTTCTCCTCCAGAGCAAGGATGGGGAGGCCCGACTGCCTCTCATCAGCCCGGACCTACCATCAGTTGTCCCTTCTGTGAATTTCTTCAATGGAACTCCACTGAGGACCAAGCAGTGAGCCAGGTACTGTGCTAGGCATTGAGGAGAGTCTTAGCTATATTATGATTCTTCTGACAACCTCCTAGTAAGTACTTTCCAAAAGGGCATCCTTAAATTGCTGAATAGAGCATAACCATAAATGATTGTTCTGTTTCCGCATTAGCATATTAGTTGGGAAGAAATTGTTTTACTAATGAACCAAAATTAGCCATTCAGTTATGTAAATTTGCCTTCTCCGGACACCTTGAGGTCCAGGAGAGAAGCAGCTTGTTCTCTGGCCCAGGGTGGCTAACAGCATTGCTGCCTTCCCCCAAATCAACTCATCCTGGGCCAGGAGCCAACACATCGCACTGAGTCTTGCATCAGAAGCATTAGGTTTTCTCCGGGGAGAATCCCTCGGGTTTTGGACAGTGTGGTGTTGGCCTTCCCCTCAAAACCTGAAGCCCCCCGATGGCAGAGTCAGCCCTGATGTGCTGCCAACCCCGTGGTGAGTGTTGGACAAGCTGCTAGCAGCCAAGGCCTCTGCGTCAGAGCAAATGACTTTTTGGACAAGAAGGATCCAAGTTCCAGGCAAGGAGTGCTCTTGGCTCCAAAGAGGAGCCGGGCACACACAGGCCACTGGCTCAGGCTGCACACTGCCTCCTCAGGGCATCTGCGTGGGGAGGCCTTCTAGACCAAGCATGTCAAACTCACGGCCCGTGGGCCACATGCCTCATTTATTTGGCCCAGTTAGCCTTTGAGTTTGACATGCTTGTTCTAGATTCTGGTGTTAGCAGCTGGGACTTGTGGCTCCAACGTGCCTGGCAGATAGGAGACTCTCAGTGGTACGAACTTGAGCCCTTAAGCAAGTCCTGGGAGAATCGTACCCACGGAAACGCAGACTAGCATCTCAGCTTCTCTCAGTGTCACTATTCCACATGCCTCTGTGTTCCAAAAGCCCATGTGGATGAAATTGTATCTCATTTTGTTCTTCAGAACTTAAAAACTGGTTAAAAGTGAAATGATAAAGTAAAGTATTATTGGCTCCTATTTCCTGTTTACCGTCTAAGCACCAAATAACTTTTTGAAATAAATGCTTTACCAGCACTCATGAGCTTGCTTGGCCCGGTGGCCGTGTGCTGGGGGAGGAGGGGTACCAGCTGCACAGTTCTCTGAGGTAGACTTGGGTCAAAGTCTCCCTGTGAAGCTGAAAAGCCTCTCTTCTCAGTATTTGTCTTAGGGAAGGAAGGATCAGATTTCAGGAGAATGAAGTTCATTTTATTTCATTAGGAATTAAACAAAAGACTGCATGTTTCCATGCATACGTAGGAGGGGATAAGGTAGGTGAACTCTGAGGCCTGGCCTTCGGTGTGATTTTTAGGCAACTTCATCTGGTTTCTCTGTGCCTTGCTGTCCTCATTTGTAAGATAGGATTAATAACAATGCATGCCTCAGATTGTTGGAAGAATTAAAGAAGATGACAACATTAAAGCATTTAGCACAATGCCTGACCAAGAGTATCTAGATAAAGATTGGCAATAATAATAATAATAAATATTAATTGTCATGATAGTAAAAATAAAAGACTAATATTGATAAGTGATGGATAAAGTCTATTTTTCCAGAAGCATTTCTGCGTATATGCCCCAGTCAGCCACATGGGTGGTCCTTGTCAAAGATTTAACTTCGTTCAGGTTACCTAGTGCCCTCGGTTCTCAGTCTGCTCTGGGCCGTGGGAGAGGCCCTCCAAAGGCAGCCAGCCCCTCTGGCTCTCCTGGTCTGATGTCCAAGGTGGCCAGGGCCCTCGCCGTCTGCTCCCCCACTCAACCCCTGGACAGCCAGTGACCTCCAAAGGCTTGATTCTTCTTTATCCTACATTGTATCAAAATCAAATTTATTTCCAGCCCTGGCTGGTGTGCTCAGTGGTTAGAGTGTCGGCCCACGCACTGAAGGGTCACCGGTTCAATTCCCAGTCAAGGGCACATACCTGGGTTGTGGGTTTGCTTCCCGCCCCCTGGTCAAGGCAGTTGTGGGAGGCAGCCTGTCGATGTGTCCTTCTCACATTGATGTTTCTGTCTCTCCCCCCTTCCCCCTTCCTCCCTTCCACTCTCTCTGAAAAGCAATGGGAAAAAAATACCCTCTGGTGAGGATTAACTAAAAACAAAAAATTTAATTCCAGATTAAAGGACACTAAGGAGACATGACAATATACAGCAACACCTGATTCTGGATCCGATGTTTTTATTACAAAACCATTGTTGGGACCATTTGCACGACTCGAATGGGGTCTAAAGCTGAGCTGGGAGGAAGGGATGTGCAGGGGTTGGGACGTGGAGAAGCAGGAGAAGGCCCTGTATGCGCTGAGATGCACTGGTCCGCTCACTGAGATGGCTCCGAGGGAAAATGTTCCCTGCATTTTACTAGCAACCTTTGTGTAAATTCCAGATGATTTTGAAATTTGTAAAAGTAACTATTTGAATAAAAGCAGGCTCTCTCCTTTTGTGTCTGTCTCTCATTGCTTCTTTTCCAGAAAGTGAATTTCTTCTTCTAAGCAGTAAATGGAGACCGGACTTCAAATCCTGCTTCTGCCCTTTCATAGGTTTGTGATGTCATAGGCTTAGCCTCCCTGAACCTCCCCCAGTCCCCACCTCCACCCCCACCCGTCTCTTCGTCTATGAAAGTACTTGCTTCAGTTTTTGGATTTTGGATTTGGGGAGAATTTTATTTGTTTTAAATGTGGGCAGAGAAGGTTGTGCATATGGCATCGAGCATCCTGTCTGGCTTACAGTCAATGCTCTATAAAATGGTACCTAAAGGAAACCTGTTTTTCTTTCGCTCTCTCTTCTCTTTGGTGCAGTGGAGGACCCCGTGATAGCTCGGTTTCTGCAGTTTCACGCAGCCTCAAACTTGATTCTTGCAGTCTTTGCATCTCTGGTTCATTGTGCGGGGTGAGGGGAGATGCTTGCTCACCTGGCTCAGCCTTCTGGCCCCCGGCCATGCAGGCCTCCAGCACACACAGCCCAGGATGCTCCACCATCACCTCAGGGGGCTTACAGTCCACTTAGAAGAGGTTCGGGAAGCCAAGCATTTCTTAAGTAACAACAGACACCACCTTTGTTCCTGGCCTCTTGTACTTGGCTCCTCCGTCCCTTGGGGGTAGGGTTTCAGGAGCCATCCGTGGCTGGAACTACCCACATGTGAAACTGTGCTCTATGAACAAATCCGTCTCTGAGGCCTTAAGGCTGAGGCCCTCCTGCAGGAGTCGGAGGCCAGAGGCTGTCCACTGCCTGTGCCCCACAGAGATGTCGGTGAGTGATCTCATGGGTCCCGGTGAGGGGGGCCGATGCGGGACATGGGTCTGTCCTCCTCCACAGACGCGAGACGTCCAGAGCAAGGCGGGTGAGGTCACAGAGGCTCTGGGTTGCCTGCCATGGTCCTGAGGGATGGGAGCAGGCTGCTCCTAGTGCCAGAAGGACAGGGCAAACCTGGCTGGGTTTGGGGAAGGAAGAGCGAGGCCCCCACTTTCAGGGTGTCCCCTTTAGGCCTCACAGCCCTTCGAGGTTATGGTTATACTCACTTCACAGGTGACCACACAGGTGCAAAGGTAAGTGACTTGCTCAAGATTGACAGCTGGGATGCAATGCAGGCCTCCACTCCAGAGCCGGCCTTCACCTCCTTCTTTCCACGGCCTCATGCTGCCTCCTGGAGGCAACGGTGGGCAGTCTGGCAGGCATGGAGGGTTAGGAAGGGAGTCAGAGGAAGGGCAAAAGAGGGATAGGTCGGCAGGGAAGTGAAGAGTAGGTGGTGGGATATAAGTGAGTAGTTTTAAAATAAGGGAAGGTGTACGAGGTCTGTTTTCAGGGTGAGGGAAACGCCTCGGACAGTGCATTCAGAGAAAGTGTGCCTGTGGACGGAGGACGCGAGGGTCAGTCACAGGTTGGGGGGTGAGGGGGTGGGGGGAGTGACAGGAAAGCAAGGCCACTATACCTCATGGCCCATTCTTGTCCCCTCAGGCTGCAACTGTTGCTTCCATTCTCCCATGGAAGATTAGAAAACCTGTGGCGTCTGGGGATTAGCAACTACCAAATATGTGGTTATTGTTTGTTGAGCACTAACCCCAGGCAGCCCCCCAAGTGTGAACTACATCCACAATACAGGAGCCTGTGCTCTGGGACACCCTGTGTTTTCATTTTCTGGTGCATTCCTCAGACATTGTGGCCGAGGGGCCTGCGCTGACCTCCCCACGCCCGGACAGCCTTCCTTGCTGGGTAAGTCCCTGGGAAAATTCCTCTTCCCGGGAAGGGGAATGTGACCCTGTAACTGGGCGTCCCTCGCAGCCAGGGGTGCGGGTGCACCTGCAGGGCTCCCTCCTCATGGAGGGACTGGGATCCCACCCCTGCAAATCTCCCCGCTCGGCCGGGAACATCTGGGCCTCCTCTGTGGCCACCACTGACGGCCACGCACCTGCATGTGATTAGGGCTCAGCAGACGCCCACAGGCTCCTGGTGGCTCCGCGCTGGTGACACGTCGCAATGGATGGGTTTCTCCCCATCACTGTGCCTCCTGAGCTGAGAGTAGGTGGCATTCCCAGACACAGGAGCAGGCGCATCCATGACCCGGGCAGGCAACCCTGTCCTCAGCGGTGCTCATCTTTGCCTTCACCTCCTTGGAAGTGATCAGGCATCAGGCAAAAGGGGAGAGGGTGGGGGTGAGAAGCCAGTCTCCACATCAGGCATCGCAGGGCCTTTCAGACGCGCTCTATCCGTGTTTGGGAAGTAGGGTAATGTTGTAAATGCCCCCCACCCGACTTTCCTTTCTCCCTCTAACCACAGAGTGCCAGCTGGGTCAAGTAGAGACTGGAAAATAAGAAAACGAAGAGCTGACCGAGGATTGTTATAAGCAAAGCATGACAAGACTACACTTTTTTTAAAATATATTTTTATTGATTTCAGAGAGGAAGGAAGAGGGCGAGAGAGATAGAAACATCACTGATGAGAGAGAATCAGTGATCTGCTGCCTCCTGCACGCCCCACACTGGGATTCAAGCCCATAACCAGGGCATGTGCCCTGACCGGGAATTTAACTTTGACCTCCTGGTTCATAGGCTGATGCTCAAACACTGAGCCACACCTGTCTGTACTTTTTGATGGCAGGGTCATAAAGCTTATACAATTATCGTTCCTACCTATGAGCTGGTTAAAGGGGAACATACTTTT